CTTTCCATTTTTGTTACACCTTTGGTATGCCAGAAAGCATAAGGCCCAACAATGAGAGTCTGCAAAGCGTGTCTTCAGAGCAACAATTCCTCCTCCCAGTCTGGGGCACTCCAGACGGGTCAGCCTCACATTGGTCTTTGGGGAAATTATGGAGGGAGTCCTCTTGGAATGCGTTTCTGGGCACAAGAAGGAGAAGATGATTTGGAAGAGTCAACATAGATTTACCAAAGGTAAATCTGATTGTCCTCTCTGTGTCTAAGTTTGTAGATGAGAGGAGAGCAGTGGATGTCATTTACCTTGGCTTTAGGAAGGTTTTCAACACTGTTTCCCACAGCATACTTCTGTCCAAGTTAGGATGTATTATATTCTAGATGTGTGAACAACCAAATGGATTAAAAATGGTTGGATGACCCAGCTCAGAGGATAGTAGTTAATGGCTCGTACTCTACCTGGAGGCTGGTGACAAGGGGAGTGCTGAAGGGCTCTTTCTGTTGGGACCATTTAACGTGTTTGTCAGTGACCTGGGGAAGGCAGTGGGCTACTTACTCATAAAGTTTGCGGTGGGGACAGTTTCGATAAGTCAAGCTGCCATTCAGAGGTACCCAGGCAGGGCTGGAGCCGGCCAGCAGGAACGTTATGAGATTCAGCAAGGACAAATGCAAAGTCCTGCACCTGAGAAGGACTTGCACTTGCACTTGCACTTGCACTTGCAGTGATACAGGCTAGGGACTGACTGGCTGAGGAGCAGTTTTACTGAAAAGGGCATAGAGATTTTTGTAGAAAGCAAGCAGAACATTAGGCAGCAGTGTGTCCTGACAGGGAAGAAGACACAATACTGGGCTGTATGAACAGGAGCGCAGCCAGGAGATTGAGGGAAGTGATTGTTCCCCTTAGTACTCATTAGAGCACACCTTGAATACTGCACCCAGCTTTGGCCCTCCAGTGTGGGAAAGACATGGATAAACTATAATAGGTTCTGTTCAGCAGAGGACCACCAGGATGGTCAAGAGCTGGAGCACTTGCCTTATGAGGAGAAACTAAGGGAACTGGGCTTTTTCAGCCTGCAGATTCAAGCAGACTTAATAGCAGCCTTCCAGTACCCCCAAGGAGGTCAGTCATCAAAAAGATGGAGCTAGGTTTTTCACAGCGATACATGGCAAGAGGATGAGAGACAACAGGCATAAACTGAAACAAGAGTGACTGAATGTAGGGTTTTTTTTCTTTTTCTCTACAAGGACAGTCAAACACTGCAATAGGTTGCCCAGAGAGGTTGTGCCATTTCCATCACTGGAGGTTTTCAAGATTGGGCTGGATAAAACCCTGAACAACCTAGTCTAACGTTGTAGCTGACTCTGCTTTGAGCATGACATTGGACTAGAGACCTCCTGAGATTGCTTCCATTCTGAATTATTCTATGATGGTGCAATCCTAGTATAGTATCACAATTCTGTGCTATTTTAAAGCTGGGTTAGTAATAGCAAAATCTTCTTAATTGTTCTGAATATTTAAATGATTTGGCTGTGCATTGCTCTTGCTTTTGGAACCCAGAAATGCTACATATGCTCTGTATGTTCTCCAAACAGCTTGTATTTGTGCTTATTTGCTGGTATGACGTGCTAACTGTGCAAAAAATTTTGGACTCTCGCCTTAGAATATAGAGACCTGCCAACAGAAAATGAAGGCTACATAGTGCTGCAAATGCTTTCTCTGTCTATGGAAAGTGCCTCTTATGTGCCAGAAAGAAGCATTTATACCACATGCTTTTTTACTGCTTCTCACATCTGTTAACATTTACATGTGTCAGAAAACAATACCTGAACAGTAAAGGGAAGGGATACATGAAGTTCAAGGGCATTGCATCAAGAAAAAGGACATGTTATATTGCACTGGTGCATTGGAATGAAAAAAGATTTCTTGGACTTGTCAAATAGATCTAATATGTGGGTATGGTCTGTGTATACTGCCTATGAATACATTTCCATACCTGAATTGGATGACCCAATTGCCAGCAAATTGAACTGAACCCATGAAAGGGTCAAGGAGTGGCAGTCAGGAAGTGAAAGAATAATAACTTTCTTGGTACATACAAAAAGAATAAAATTTTATTTCATTTAAGGAAGGATTTATATCAACATGTTCAAAGTTAGATTCCTAAACATGGAATTACCTACTTATATTGAAATACTTTGCGTGTTCGATAATCTTCTCTTCAGCTGCCTTTTTGTAGCAAAAGGAGTAGGTTGACTGACAAACGTTGCTGTATATCCTCAGTCCTCAGAGGCAGCTACTGTATTAGACTGTGTTTCCAAGAATATTTCTTCGAAGTCGTATTGTGAAAATTCTGAGACATGGTGTAGTACAGGACTTTGAATGATGTAGCAGTTCTTATGGATGTTACCGCTGGCAAGCGATTTAGAAAAACAACAAATTAGAGAGGAACTGATTCTTGATCTCCCAAACTCAGAAGGAAAAAAATCAGTATTTGATACCTTTATTAAAATTGCTGTTTGCATTGGTTGCATTCATACCACTAATTCTTTAGACATCTATTTGTGTACTTTAAACCAGTGTCATGTAGTAGGCTGTTCTTTGATACCTAACCCTGATTTTCCAAAATGTGCCTGCAATAAAGACCACAGTTCCCCCCCACACACTATTGTTATTGCTTAATATTGAGCTCTGCATGGAAAGTGACAGAAAAATATTTATTTTCCTAAGTTTTCAGAGCCTAGAAAGAAGAGTTGGCTAAAAGAAATAAATAACCTTGAACTGAGTCCTACCTAACATGTAGTCATAATAAAGGCAACAGTCTGTTTTTGCTTTTTGCTATATTTCTGCTAGATAATGTATCTCCAAAACATTATTTTTGTGATAAACTTCTGCTCTTACAAACTGATAACAAGTCTTATGCTGAAAGTATTATGAAAGTTTGAGTTCCACACTCACTACGCTGAAAAAGCCTTCCACTAGGTCTGTGAAGATGCAGTGAATAATCACATAAGGCATACGGTTTCCTTGCCCCCAAATTTGAAACTTATAGCTTTACCAAAACCACCGTATGAACGGTATGTGCATACATATTTTTGGTTTTGAGTCAGGGATATGAAGGATCTATACCAGTTTTCCTCAGTAAGTTATACGAGAAAGTTGTGAGGCACCCAAAGAAACACTTGAAGCTGATCAGAAATCAGCTGGTGGAAAATAGCGAGGAAGAAAGATCTTCATCCAGCAATATTTCTTAAGAAAAAAAAGCAGTTAAGCATCTGAAGAGACTTGCATTCTGGCCTTTGTGCTTTGTAGAGCAGCTTTATCACAACACAGAGGTGTGCTGCTTGGTCCTCCTGCCAGCTGAAGTCAGTGGTGAAACTTCTCTGGTTGCTCCAGTGACTTCTCTGGTTGCTGCCCCTGGCCCAACATTTGCATGCAAAGAAAGTATAAGAATATAAAGCTTTCTCATATCATTTCCTCTCATGTCATTTTAACTCTGGCATATCCCTTTAGGAGTGTTCAGACTTCAAGAATGCTTATCTAGCTATTTGTACAGAGACATCTGATTGCATTAATGGAAATTATAGGAAGAATTGCTAGAAAAAATTATCATTGATGCTCAATTTACATAATACTCTTTTTGACATAATTCAGGCCCATCACAGGCACCCTTACCAGTTACATGTAGGGGTCAAAGGGTGAAAGGTGACTGGCAAGACGCTTGTTTTGTACATTTGGCTAACACAAATACTTCCTCAAGTATAAAATGCTTTGATCTCTATAAGCAAATGCCATATGTGTGCAGCTGTGGCCCGTGCCTCACGATTGCTGGAAGGTTAGAAAAAGGTAGCATACGAATTTGATGTCTGCATTCAATTTATGCTTTTATATTTAGCAGTTCATAATTTTGTGTAATATTTTAGCTGTATGAAAAATATGCACTGGAGTTGAGTGATAACAGATTTCTCTGTGGTTTGACTCAACATTGTTTGGGTGAACACAGAATCCTAAGTATTGCAGACTGAAAATATAGGTTTTAATTAGAGCTGTCTGAGCTTCAACATACCTGAACACACATTAAGCTTGGCAGATTTTCAGAAATCTGAGGATTGCGTGGAGATGATTTAAGCTAAGCAAGAGTCTTCTGTTTTCCAGCATATATTGCATTTGCAGTTGCATCACTGACTTTCAACACACTGAAGAACTGAGATCCAAACCCATTATTAATGGTTTTCTGATATGTAAAAATGGTTTATCATGAAGGCCTGTCTTATGTCACACTTGTGTTGAACAATACCTTACTCCAAGGGAATTTCCATTGAAAAAATTGAATGACTCCCAGAGTAAAGGATCTGCTCCACATGACTGAAAAGCTGAATCTGCTCCAAAAGTTTGGTGCCTTTTCTGAGCTTTTTTTTTTACTTTTACATGCAAATGTTTAAGAATGGTATGCCCAGATCTGTATCCCTCAAGCAGTTTAACGTGAGTGGTTTGCTGTGACAATAAAGAAACCTGCTGCAGTCAATGGGACACAAGGGTGCATTCACATGGATCCAGTTTCATGATCAAGGCCAAAAAAAAAAATGTATGGCTTTGTTTATTAAAAATCTTGAGCATGTGCAAATATACCAGTGTACCTGGGGGGGAAACCATGATTTCAATTAAAGCATATGCAATTTCTACTCTACAAGAAAAAATCCAAGACACAACCAATAGACAGGCATGATACAATAAACAGAAAATCAGACATGAAAATATCAAATTACAGGTACAAATATGATAAAATACAAAGCGTTGTGCTCTATGTGTATGTTAATACATATAGGTATACAAAAGTATACATATATAGGTATACATACATATATAATACAGTGTTTATGATTTTTTGTATTTTATTTATTATGTGTGTGAGTAAATTCATGCAATTGTTCTAGATATGATTTGAATATTATTTAAATAATAGCGTACTTATTTGGTTTTCTTATGCTGTTTCTCTTTTGTATTTTTGCTAGCTCCTACTGGCTATGGTGGGCTCTACAGATGAAACTCTGCAGGAGGCAGCAGCTGGTTGCATAGCAAACATCCGCAGATTGGCTCTAGCAACAGAAAAGGCAAAGTATGGCTGATGCTTTAGCAGCTTTTACCAACACACTTGTTTTGCAATACAGCCACATTTAAATACATGATTACTCCTTCTAGCATCTGTATTTCATAGCAGAGCTCATTTATATGAAGATAATTTAATAACAAAAATAAATCTCTGGAAAATTATGCTTGGTTTTGCATTATTGGTTTGTCACATCTGGGTTTTATAAAACACTCACACCTGGTTTTGTGTGTCTTTTAGTATTACATCTTTCAAAAGACTATCAGTTAAGATATGTCAAAGACTTTCTACAATTAATATGCGTGTATTTGAAATTCATTGTAGATATAAATGGTTTTGCATATCTGTGACATTACAATAAATTTTTCTTCACTGTGTGTGTGGTTGTGCAGTGAGTTATGAATGTCTTGAACAATTCCCTCCGTGCTAAACTTGTCCAGTCATCCTGTCATTATGTTTTTGCCTGTTTGATCACTCGCAATTCACAGGAGAGGACAAAATGCAGATACATCAATCTCACAGCTGGTGTTGTATAAGGACTGCAAACAGGTGTAGCAGTAGACATCACTCCAAATTTCCTGTTTCTACCAATATCAAACAAAATAGTGCTTAATTTTATAAGTAGTTGGTAAAATGTGTTTTAATTAGCATGTGTTTAACTCAATTTTAAATTTACCATCTGTAAATAAAAAGTGGAGAATTACATTTATGTTTACACATTATCTTATCGTGGGTTTTTGTTTTTAAACTGAGGACAACATTGTATTGATGTACTTACTTTATTTTTCTGCATAACATTATATTCAGAATTAGAGTTGCTTTGCATAACCACATAAACAGTGGTTGATATTATAGATTACAGACCCACTGTATGTACCGTGCTCAACAAATAATACTAAAGCATTTCCTTGAGAGCAGTAATGTCTTAATTACAAGCACAGACTGCTGACAAAACTGAAAAAAACCAAATGCTTAAATAACTTCTGTTTGTCAAGTACTCACTTCTGAATGATTTTTTTACTGCCCTTAATAATTAACAATTTTCTTGTTTTGGAAGCAGTTTGTAATTTCATTATTTTTCTTCTAACTAGCGTGGCTACTCAAGGCAACTAATTTTACTGCTAGCAAGCTTCTAAGGAAGACGTAATGCAAATCCAACTTTTTATTTGTGTTTTCTCTGAAGCAGACATGAAGGCGCATTTAAAATTTCATTTTAGAATGATGCAGTTCTGAAAGAGGAGGATTGCACTGGGCCCTTAGGGAAGGTGTAGAGAGTATTTTAAAGGAAACAAACTATGGTCAGGTGCTGACAGTGTGGAGATCAAAATATTAATCCGAGTAGTATTTTTTGATCAATGCCAACACCAACATAGTCATGGGGTTGTCACAAGTTCCATCAGCAACCAGTGACCAAGCAAATACTATTTTAGGTATTCTCCAGCTCTGCCCCATAGACCTGGTATGTTATTTTGAATAAATGTATCCACATTATTATACTGATGTCACAGCTGTAGTAGCATCATGTGCTTCATCACTATACCCAAAAATACTTCTCAAATAAATGCTAATTGCCAAATTCATTTGGAAGAGGAGAGGCTTGATTTTATTTTTGTCTCTTCTCTGAGAGAAGCTGTAGATGCAAATAGTTTATCACAGTCTTGCTTATGAAAAATACGTAAAATGGTGGCTTATTTTTCTAACTATTGAGGGGAAAAAAGCTCCCTGACATTAACTGTTGTCCTTAACATGACCTCTCAAGGCACTCTTGACCATTTAGCATGGATTTCAAATGGAACAAGTTCTAAAGTAAACTTAATTTTATGATACAGGTGTCAGGGCAATAAATGTCCTATTCCTGACAATGACATGCCCTCAGCTTGCCACCCTCACTCACGCTGGTAGCCCTTATGCCTCTGAGTAGTTGATCTGTAGTCTTTATTTTAAGGCCTGAGACAGTTAATCCCGGACTTAAGCTGACGTTTTTGTGCTGTTTTCTTTTCCTTTACCATGCCTGCAGCTTTTAAGTTCTGTACAAGGAGAAGAAATGCTGAAATCGATACGGATCGCCACACAGGCAAAGGATCAGTATTAAAAAAATACATCTTTTTTGGCCAAAACTGGTGGATTCCATGTAATTAATACAAAGAGATTTAGTTGTTGGAAAATGAATAAATGAATGTGATCCCTGGCCTCTCTGAGCCGTGCAGTACAGCGTGTACATTTGAAAAGCTTCCACTTTCTCCGCAGGGCTGTGTTGAGTTTCACAGCACTGCAGCCCTCTGAAAAGGGATCCTCACAAAGCTGAGTCCCACTTGCGGCTCACACACCCCTCCTGGCAGCGCCCGCCAGCCTATTCAAGCCCTGGCACCGACTCGAGTGGCCGCGGCCGCCCGGGCCCAGCATTCCCACCGCATATAACCAGGCACCAGCCAGCTCCCACTCCCCGGCTCCTGTGACTCGAAGGGAAATGCCTTCACTCCTTTCTCTTTCCACCAGCTGCTACTTGTCCACATAAACCTGTAGCCTCTTAGGAAATACGGTTACACTGAGCACTGGAGCTCATTGTTATATTCAGCGCAGAGCAATTTGATGTACAAATTCAACACAGAGTCTTATTTTAGCTGCAAAAATGAAGTGACTTAAAATGGGGGATCAGCCTCTCTCCTGTTCATTTGCCATCACCTGCTCAATCCGCTCCCTCCTAGTTTTCTCTCTGTGATCCCTGTATTTTCACAGTCTTGTAATAGGGGTTTTTTTCAGTTTATTTAGACTGGTGTTACCGCCAGCAGAGAGTATCTGTCACTTGTCACAATTTTGGGAGCCAGCTCCCAGCTGTGCGTGTAGCGCCATGCTCCAGCTTACAGCCATGAAGGCAGGCCTGCTCTTCACCGGCTGCTCATTTTCAGCTTCGTTCCTCATTTTCATTAAAATGTCAGAAAACATAGAGGCCAAGTAAGAAAAGTTGTCACGAGAAAGTGTTGTTTTGAGTATGGAAATACTATAGTTGATGAGAAAAAAGCAAGGGAAGAAATCTTTCACCTTTATGCAATTATTTCTGGAACCTTAAAGGCCCACCACATCTTTCAGTCTACGCGTCTGTCAGCAGCAAGATAGCTTTTCTTCTACCACTCCGTGACTTTATGATTTATTGCTTGGTGACAGATAACCATTATCAATAATTTAATTGTCCCAGGATGTTCAAACTACACATTTGAATCTGGGATTTATGTTCATTTCCTCTTAATGTTCAGGCTAATGACAAGTGCATGTGTTCTGACACACAATATTGTCTCCAAGTTGTTAGGGAAATATAAACTTCACGGCCTGGGTGCAACGGATCTGTGATATATTAGGGGCTTTGTTATTCTGCTCCATCACTGAAACTTTTCTTTGGCGAGTAAATGAGCCGGAGATTCACAGGGCTGTCTTGAGAACTGACTCGCTAATTTGCTGTAGGCTAACTGATGGCTTTGTGTGAAAGCAGGGTACCTCTGTCATTCCACCTCTCCTAAAATGAGTCGAATGAGCTGCTGACGCTGGGGTCAGATGTGAATCATCCCAGGAGGCTGAACTAGATAACATGTTAGTTTAAGAATTTCGTCTCGTAATAAATTAAATGGTTGTTCCTTGCACATTTCCACCAAAATAATCTTTGTTTTACACATGACAGCAGGATGACTGCGATGGAAACATGTAACGTGTTTCTTGAGCAGTGGTATTCAAGTTTCCATGTGGGCCGTTTGCAGAGCTTATTTCCAGAGTCAGAAGCTGACTGCTCCCCCACTGTAAATTGTGGTTTGTCTCTCCTTTTGCCACTGAAGCTTTGCCACGCACTGCTCGGGATCCAGAACAACAGAAGGAAGCAATGCTGCATCTTGGCCACTTCTCAATTCAGAGAACCTAACCCGCTGCTGTTCGGTGACCTGGCGCGTGCCAGGACCAGCGTGTCTGCAGCCGTAGCCGCTGCAGTGGGATGTCACATTGCACCATTTCTGAAGGAATGAATTTTACCAATTATTGTTCCCTCTCCTGCTTAAACAGAGATGTTCCTCAATGCTCAATATTTTGCTGCTTTGGCTATTGAAGTCAGCCAAAAGTCATCCATTTTCATGAATCTTTTCCTTGAGTGCAATTTTACATTGTACCATGTGCTTTTCATCCTGTTGCCTAGTTATCAGTTCAGTAATACTTGTGGCTTGCTGGGAAGGATTTCCATAGACAGCATTACCATGGCCCGTGTTTATCGTCTTGACTTGTTTCTGTGCTATCTGCCAGACACCTTCCAGTTGGCAAGTTCCTCTCTCTTTTCCAGTTGTTGTCATTGGCAAGTTCTGTGTTTTATCCTAGTCTACATAGAGCACGGTACCCTTCAGCTGCTTGATCTTTCTCCTACAACGACTGTAATCAATTCTGCTTTGAACACAAACGTTTTCTTTCTGAAAGGTTCATAAACCCACATAAGACAGCTTTGACTTTGGCTACCAAATTATATGATGTGGCCTAATTCTATCACCTTTGCAGTTCTCCAGTGGCACAAAACCATCTTGACTAATTTCATGTATTTTCTCCCATCATTTGGGAATCCTGACATGGTGACAAGATAGTAGTTGGCCAGTCGAAACCTTTGCTTGTTGTCATTTTGAGCGTGTATTGAAGAAAGGCCAGAAGAACGACACTGTACTAGTGCTGAACCATGAAACAATAGCTCATAAACCCGCAGTTTTCAGTCATCTCCCCATTGCGCCAGGATCCTGGAGTGCCTTTAAAGCTTCTCCACTCTTCATTAGGTGTGAATCTGCCTAGAAGCTTCAGGGGAGGCAAAATTGTTCACTGCAGTCTCGGTGGTAAGGTTTTGTCCAGCCATGCTGTGACACACCCCGCTTCTCCAAGGGGCTTGGTGAACGCAGGAGAGTGACAGAGCACCTGTGATTCAGTGGCTGCCTCTGGCAGCAGAATTTTGCTCCAATGGCTGAGCCTTGAACTTCATCTTCTAATACCCAGATTAAATAACTAGGGATG